TTGCTCCTCCGCTGCTGTCTGGGACGAAGGGCACCTTTCCCGGCAGAGATTCTGCTCGAGCTGCCCGGGTGTAAACTCATCAAACCTTAACAAACCTGAAGGGAAGAACTTAAAAAATCAAGTGGCATCGCCGAGCACAAGCTCTGTAAAGCCTCCCTTGCTGCGTTAAAGCCGGGAGTGTTGTGTGTTACTAGTGAATAAAAAGGACTTTTTATATCCTTAGGTGTAAGTGCCTGGGAACTGTTTACTCTTCTCAGAGTGATATAAACACTGGAGCAGTTTGAATTCAAGCTGTGCTGTGTCTGGAGGTGCTGGAGAGCCTCTTCTGCTTCTAGACCTGTCTACAGCAGAGGAAAACACCAATAATTATACTGCTGGCTTGAAAATGGTTATTTCTGAGACATCCAGAAATAGCAGGTAGGCAGCCAGTGGTATAAAGCAGAAAAAAAAACCCCAAACGTGCTTGTAAGTTTTAATTATGGAGTGATTAGCAGATTATTAAGGATTGGCAGCAAATCTAAGTCTCACTTTGGGTATGTGTTACAGCACTGTAACTGAGTGTTACACTAATTAATTGGAATTAATCTAAAATAGTGCCACTTAATTCTTATAGTAATAATTTAGGCATTAAGACTTTTTAATGTCATTTATATAAACCTAAATGTCATTCAGTTTATTTCCACACTGCCTAGCTCTGAGATATCAGCACTTTGTGAACTATGTGGGGGGAAGGACCCTCCCTCTTATTTTTCCCTTGGAAGTCACTATTTTCTACGTAGTCACACTTCTTGTTCTGGATCCTGCTTGGTCCTCCTGAGTGAATGGAAAAATACTTCCTTAAAAAAAAAATAAATCAGGATTTATAAGTATTTTGGTCAGCTGTCTTGTAGAGTACGTCTGGTGTTCTGTAACACTTCAAAACTCACACTTTCCCTTTCATTTGAATGTAGGTCATTAACTTAATGAGCAACTGTTGGAGTAGGTTTAATGTTTGACTTGGTCTATCTTTAATATTCAACTTTTTCTTGCTGTGCTCCAGTAGGTGAAGCCTTTGCAGTCAGCAGGTGCTTTCCCTCCTGTAAAGCCACTCTGCATATTCTTTTTTTCTCCACAGCATTGCTTTTAGGGCTTTTGGGCTGAAATTAATGGCTTCGATTCAGTGATTGTTTTGTGGGTGTTGTTGGTTGGTTGGAGGTTTTGTTGTTGTTTAAATTTTTAGCAAGTTTGGATTTTTCTTTTTGCTCTCTTTGATAAAAGGATGTTACACACCAGCTCAGACCCTGAAACAGTCTCATTTGATGGAGGCAAATCCTAAGAAGAAGGACTTAAGATAGGGGTACAAAATGGCTTTTTATTGTTTATGGTCGTGGAGAAACTCATCATCCTTTGTCTTTGGGCTTTCTTTTCCTTTTTTCTGCCAGGACATTTGACACTTCTTCTTCATGCTCCAGGAGTGTGCAGAGACAGAAGGCAGTTGCATTGGCTGCTGATCCTTTTTGTTTGTTTTGGCCCGTGATTTGTTCTGGGAGTTTACTGCTGGAGTGTGACTGGAAGTGAGTGGGAAGAGTCCCCGTGGCTGTGATGAGCTGGCTTCCAGCTGCCCCTCAATATTTTCCTGACCCCTGGGAAGCCCCCTCTGCCTGGGGGGCTTACAGGATGCTGTTGCTTATTGCCCTTGTTCCTCTTAAATTGAAGCCTTCCAAGCTCCTGCTTCTCTGTGGCCAGGGCATGAAATCATGAGGCTGCAGGTTCCTGCCAGAAGTTCAGTAGAAGGTCAGTGCCATTTTTCCCAGTAAAAATGTCACTTAATCTGCATTTCTCTAATAGCATCGTGTGTTTAAATATCCCTCTGGCTTGGCAGGGCCTGTACATTTATTTTCCTGTCCCTGTGGAAGGTGCTTGTGTTGAAAAGGCGAGTTGCATAATAGGTTTTGGAGAAGCGATGATGGTTTTACCAGTTCTGAAGGTACCACAAGGTACAGGCTGCCAGGGAGGTGTGTTGGCATCTCTTGACATTGATACACTGCAAGAGGAAGAAAAAAACCAAAAATGTGATAAATTTTTTTGTAGGTACATTATCAGATTTTCTTGTTAGGTAGGGTAGTGCTTTAAAATGCCTTCAGGAAGAGTAAAATATGCAATGTGATTCCTATTTAAAATGTTTTTGTTTGGTGAGTGTGGGGGATAGGAAGCAGCGGGGTGGTACTGCCAGCATCCCAGGGAAGTACAGCTGTAATTCCCATGGCTTTTGATGGCATGTGCATAACCCTGGCCGTGGAAAATACACCTTAGGGCTAAGGATTATCTTCCTGCGCTGTGCTCCGGGCCTGTGTGGGGTCAGGAGATGGGAGCAGAGCCGGAGTCTAGCAACCTGTTGGATCCTGAGTAGCCCTTAGGCTGCTGGAGCCTTTGATTTCTGCTGCTGACAGAAACACTGATTTTCCCCATCCTGCTCCTCCATTCATGGTTTTGTAATATCACTGTTGTTGACAGGAGCAGTAACTCAATACCATGGGAATGCTTCTAGCGTGGGGACATGGAATCAATAATGGGCTTTTTCCAAGTTTGATTCGTCATTTTTTTTGGATGTTTCATTGCTGAAGCATCGCTTTGGGTTTTGGCTTTTTTAAACCACTCTTATCTAAGGAGTGTTATCCTGCAGCGGGGCCCTGTGGAAGGTGGCTGAACATGGACGAGGGAAGTGATTCTCCCTCTGTACTGGGCACTGCTGAGGCCACACCTTGAGGGCTGTGTCCAGTTCTGGGCCCCTCGCTTCAAAAAGGACATTGAGGGGCTGGAGCGTGTCCAGAGAAGGGCAACAGAGCTGGGGAAGGGTCTGGAGAGGAGCTGAGGGAGCTGGGGTTGTTCAGCCTGGAGAAAAGGAGGCTTGGGGTGACCTTCTCGTTCTCTGCAGCTCCCTGACAGGAGGCTGTGGCAAGGTGGGGCTTGGCCTCTTCTCCCAGGCAAGCAGTGACAGTACAAGAGGACATCAGGAAGAATTTCTTCATGGAAAGGGTTGTCAGGTATTGGAATGGGCTGCACAGGCAGGTTGTGGAGTCAGCGACGCTGGAGGTGTTCAGGGATCGACTGGACGTGGCACTGAGTGCTCTGGTCTAGTTGACCAGGTGGTGATCAGTCCAAGGTTGGACTGGACGATCTCGGAGGCCTTTTCCAGCCTAAATGATTCCGTGGCTTGTTGGCACCACACCAGGCCTGTGCACTTGTGCACTTGCACAGCCCTCTGCTGATGTCCGTGACAGCGGTGCAGCATAGTGAGCTGCTCAGGTGCTTCTGCTGATGTTTCCTTCAGAAACTTAATATTGGACAGCAATAAACCTAAATTACACAATTACTGTATGGTAACTGTGTAGTATATAGTAAGTATAATTATAGTATTTTATGTATAATTACATAAAATACGAGATGCTCTATTTGTGGGCTGGTAACCCACATAACACGAAAAAAAAAACAAACTAAAGAGTCCTGAGCAATGTGTTGTAGGACAGTTATAAGACTACAGTGTAAGGAGATAAGGCCTGAGTAGCAGCATTATCTGTTGTTCTTATTTACAAAGGACACTGCAACAGACTCAGGTTTCTGCATGGATTGGTTTGGCACGAGGAAAGAGCAGATTGTTTGGTTTGGCGTGTGCTTGTTTCTCTGTCCTAGGAGGGTTATGGTGACTGAGGAGTTTCTGACGTGCCCTCTCTGTGCTTCTAACGCACTTGGCTTTCATCTGGTGCATACAGGGTTTTAAACCCCCAAAACGGGGGGGTAAGGAGTGTTTTCCCTTTCCCCAGCAGCCTGCTGCTGTCAGGAGCTGTGTTTAGGGTGGCAGTGTGAGTGTAGGTTAGAGCTGGTGCTCAAGTGGGTGTTCAGGTGCTGATTTAAGTAGGTTCAGAATCGAGTACTTGTCCAAGTGCTTCAGTGGAAGCTGAGATGTTCACGTGTGTGGTACTGCCTCCTGTTACTACATTTCCTCTCGTACACAAAGTGTAATTTTTGAAAGCTCAAAGTAAAGTTGGTCCTTACTCTCTGGTAGCCTCTTCCTGCCTGGTTGTGACTTTGCATCCCTGTCTGGCTGATCAGTGTTGACACTAAAGGAAAATATTGCATGGATTTGCCTGTGCTTTTAGAAGAAAAAAACTACCTTAATCTTCTCTACTCCTCTTGGCTTATATGGAAAAAAAAAACAAACCCTCAGAAGATGTTATCCTTAAATCAGACCAGAGAGTTGCAACTTAAAGGAGGACAAGCTGAACCCTGTGGACAACTGTCAGACAAGAGCTTGTAGCAGGAATGCTCATAACCATGTACCAGTAGTGTGAAGTGTGATGTGCTCAGACTGCAAAATGGATGTAGAAGTTCCAGTTGAGGAACTGAGTTGTATTTGTACTAAGTCATATTATATCCTGTGCACTGGAATATGAGTACTGGTGATTTCTTTGGGTCTCGTGTGTGTGAATAAGTACAGGACTTTAGCCTTTGGGTCTTTAAACTTAGCATCTTTCTTAGCCACTTAATAAATTCTAATACCAGTGACGCAGTTGTGCTTTTGAATGTAATCCCAAGTGTAGCAGGATGCAGCTCTCAGGGCTGACGTGACGATCTGGGAGCCGTCGGGTGACGTCTGTAATTCGGAAGTGCCGCGTGTGGTACCTGCGTGGAGGGCACCGACCTCGCGGTCTCACTTGGCCTCCCCGCTGTTTCACGCAGGTGCCAGATCGCTGTCTGCGTTGGAAAAGGTCTCTTGTTTACCCTCGATGCCAGATGGAAAGGGAGGGGTGGGGAAAAGGCGGATCTCGCTGGAAACGGGGCGCTGCCAAGCACGCTCTGAAACAGAGTCTCTCTCGTTCCCTGTGACCACCGAAAGGATGGCTCCGAAGCGGGGAGACGGGATGAGCTTTCGCGGGACAGCCAGATAATAACTTGCCTTAAATTCCCCAGCAGGTTACAAGTCTGTTGTGTGTCGCTCTAATGCTTTTCCTTTCCCGTTCCAGCTATGAAGCCGTACGCTCCAGCTTTCATTCTCCTGTGGAGTGCCGTCGGGATAGCGAGGGCTGCCAAAATCGTCGTCGTGCCGCCAATTATGTTTGAAAGCCATCTTTATATTTTCAAGACTCTGGCCTCAGCCTTGCATGACCAAGGTCACCAGACAGTGTTTCTCCTCTCTGAGGGCAGAGAGATTCCTCCATCTAATCACTATAGACTTCAGCGCTACCCAGGGATCTTTAACAGCAGCACCTCGGATGATTTCCTCCAGTCCAAGATGAGGAGTATCTTCTCGGGGAGACTGACAGCCCTCGAACTGTTCGACATCTTGGACCACTACACCAAGAACTGTGACATGATCGTCGGCAACCAAAACCTCATGCGTGCCCTGAAACAGGAAAAATTTGACCTGCTCCTGGTCGATCCCAACGAGATGTGCGGATTTGTTATAGCTCATCTTTTAGGGGTTAAATACGCCGTGTTTTCCACTGGCCTCTGGTATCCAGCAGAAGTGGGCGCTCCGGCTCCCCTGTCCTACGTTCCCGAATTTAACTCGCTGCTCACGGATCACATGAACTTCTTCGAGAGGATTAAAAACACTGTTGTTTATCTCATTTCGAGGTTCGGGGTCAGTTTTTTGGTTCTGCCAAAATACGAACGGATAATGCAGAAACACAAGGTTCTTCCGGAACGGTCCATGTACGACTTGGTCCATGGATCCAGCCTGTGGATGCTTTGTACTGATGTAGCCCTGGAGTTCCCGAGACCGACGCTTCCCAACGTCGTTTACGTGGGAGGAATCCTCACCAAACCGGCCAGCCCTCTGCCAGAAGTAAGGTTTGCTGAGTTTTACTGAGTCATTTCTGTGGTTTCTGGTTCACCTCGTGTCACGAGTGACAGTTTTGAAGCGGTGAATTCCAAATGGGATCCGGTGTTCTGCCGTTGTTTGGTGGAATGTACTCTTGCAGTCACTGGAAGTTGCTTGGGGTGGTGGCGAGAGGAACTGTGAGACAGAGACTCCACAAAATGAGTCTTTTGTGGCTGCAAGGAAGTATTTTGCCTTTTAAAGTAAAGTGCTTAACGGTGCATTAGAGGTGAAAAAGGTGAAAAACAGCGAGCTCTGTCTTGGAAATGACATCAGTAGCTTCTACCCAAACATGGTTTAGAATGGGAAGGAAGGAGGATGGATGAGCACTGCTTATGCTTGAACAAGCCTGCTGATGTGTTATATGATCTAACTTCGTGGTATTAGTGTTCTCTGCGGTGGTTTTTTGCCTCCCTTGGGTTCGATAAGTAAAAATGTCTTTTAAATTACATGTACGTAAGCATGAAAAAAACCCTGTATAGGCCAAGATATGGAGGTGTGAGTTGACCTAAAATGGCACCGCTGCTGCACTCAGATGGGAATTTTTACTGTGCACGTGCTGGCCCTCAGGTCCTGGAACGGTGACAGTGATTGCACTGACTCCAGAAGTCCTGGCTGCACAGATCAATTAGTTTGATTACTTCAGTATAGCAGGTGAACTTTGATAGCCGATACCTAAGAGTGCCTCTGTTCAGCAGCAGAGGGGGACAGGCAGAACAAAATCTCATAGAACACAATGTCATTTACAGTTGGTGTCCATAAGAAGGCAGATGTTGAGTTGGAGGTGCCTGTTAATGGATGCTTATGGCTGGGTGATAAATAGGGAGGTAGACCTGCAGTGCTCAACAATTTCCTTGTTAAAATGCCTTGTTCTGCCTTTGCTTTTGGCATGAAAACTGCTGTTGCCTGTGCTCCAGGGTGTTCTCAGAGATGGCCATAACAGTGTTGCTTCTGACCAGGTTCTTGCTGTGTGTACACTCCTGTGTTTGGAAAGGGTCAGGCTGCACAGGTATCCTGAGAAAGCAGGCTAAAGGTGCTTTCTGTCTGTGCTGTCTACAAGTTCAGCCCTGTTCCCTCCAGGAAAACGTGGTGGGCCGGACTGAGCTTTTTCTCCCTTTTCCAAACTGATTATTTTCTTGTTCTGCAGGAAGAAAAAAATGTCTTTGCACGATCAAGTTGGGCGCTAGGGTAACATTGTCTGTTTTGTCTTTTTGTTTAATGTAACCAGAGTGACAGTGACCTGAAAATAGACCTGTAGGTAGAGTACATGCTGGCAAATATTCATTGCAGCGAGGGGAAAAAAACCACCCGTAATTATTTGTAATTTGTCTTCAGTTTTATCGGGCAGTTCATTCTTTTGGAGTTGTAAGCGGGAGATTGAAGGTGCAGGAGAGAAGTAACAAAGTGAGCGTGTTCCTCTTTTATCCTGTAATTTGTCCGTGCCCAAGGTGTTACACGTAATCCCCTGTGGAATGTATTGTAGGTTAATTACTGGGCAATCACTCGGTGCTTGCTGAGCAGCGAGAAAAAATTCGGAACTGTGGCTCTGCTCTGGGCAGATTTAAAACTGGATAGCGAGTGCTGCGGCTGTTCCCTGCTCCTGCTGCGGCTCTGAGGCAGGAGCCTTGGCTGATTTATTTTCTGCAGCTTTGAGTTTGGTGCATTAAGGTGAGCCAGAACTGGGGCTGGTTCACGTTTCTGTGCTGGGCTGGAGCTGGTGATGCTTCAGGAGCTCTCAGAAATTACGCTCCTGCCCGGAGGGTGATCAGGAAAGAGGGGCGTGTGGCTGGAGACGACAGCTTTTTTAGGTTAAAATTAGAAGTTATTGGGTCTCTTACAGTCTCCAAAACTGCTTGTGAGTAGCCTGGTCCACTTTGTCTGCTGGAGACGTATTAGGGAAAAACCAGTGGTGTTTTTTCCAAGCCCAAAATACCTGGTCAGCCCAGGGTACCTGCGCACCTCAGTAGTGGCACTCCAGCCTCGCCGGCTGTTTTTTTTTTCCTTTCTTACCCCTCACCCAAAATAACCAAGTAGTTTGTTTACTCAAACCAGAATGCCTGCACTTAACCGAAAACCTCTAGTTTTCTGCTCATAAGTAGCACCTAAAAAAAAAAAAAAAGAAAAAAAGAAAAAAAAAAAAGGAGGCAGAGAGGAATAACTCAGCGGTCAGTGAGGAGGTGAAGGTCAAGGTGTTTTGAAGTGTTACGGGGTGGCCACTCTTTCATTCTGGGGGATGTGGTCGCTCTGTTTTGTGGATGCTCAGAACCTGCACCTTCTCTGAGGTTAGAAAAGCACGGCTGTAAAGGTAGCACGTAGCAGTGGGTGCTGAATATCCAGGTCATGTGAAGGGGAAGGAGACATTGCTCCTGCTTCGCTCTGTCCCATCCACATTCATATTCTGGTTCGGGGCAGCGGATGGGGTGTGGAAATCCTTTCCCTTTTAGCCGCGCTTGCCGCCTGCGGGTCCCTGTGCTTTGTGGGATCGGGAACCTGTGCTTGGATCGGGGAGCGCAGGAGATGCAGCCAAATCCCGGCGGCTGGAGGTGTGTGCTCAGGGGCTCTGCCGTGCTGGCACAGCGCTCGGTGGGGCGGCTGCAGGCCCTGCAGGGACCGTGTGTTACCTGTGTAAGCCTTCCCCAGGCTCCCATCCTCCTCCTCCTCCTCCTCGCTCCCTCCCGGGCAGCGTCCCGCTCTGCGCTTGGCGCAGTGTCCCCGGGGCGGTCGCAAGCGATGGCCGTGCCAAAGGAGCGGGAGCCAGCGGGTGTGCTTTGGAGGTCACCGCGCTGCCCGGCTCCCTGCGGCGCCCTGCGGCTTCCTCCGGCACGGCGGGGTCGGACTCACCGGGACGGACGGGCAGGGTGTCCGGGCAGCGGCCGGAATGCCGGGGGATGGCACATTTCCCCGCTCCCACCCCGGCGGCGGGGGGGATGGAGCGCTGAGCACAACTTGTGTCGCTCCGCTCCGTGGCGGTGGGAGGGCTGATGGTCCCTTCGCACAGCTCGGAGTGTAGGGCAGCGTTGGTCGCCCTCTGTGGGGGCCAGCGTGACGTTTTCACTGGTTAGACCGGGTTTAAAGGTGCTTCTCGCGTGAGGTGTGCTGCTCTGTAAAAGGCAAGGAGATGATTGCGGCTGCACCCATTATCCCTAAGGGAATCAAATGTTACATGCACGTGGAACACAGTCCAGGATCAAAAACCCGTGTGTTGAACAGCACAGAGGACGGTGGGATCAGAATTATCCTTAAAAGATCAAAAGCTAAAGAGAGACTGACCACCGAGTCCTTAAGGTAATCACTGACGTGAACTATCGAGTGCGTGCTGTTCCCTGGCAGTGTTTCCCTGATAACTGTCGGTGCCCGTTAGGAAAGCGGAGGGCGGCTCTGCTTCTCCCTCGCTGCACTTCTCCAGAGGGATGCCAATGAAGCTTTGTAAAGGAACACCCATTTGGAGAAACAATGAGGAAACCTCTGCTCTGCCATTTGTCGTGTGACTGGGTTGGTGTGTATTAGGCATTAATGAGCCCGATAGGAGTCCCTGACTCGGGGCAGGAACCGGGGGGGTGCTACAAGCAGCCGCCTGGGGAAATACTCAGCCCGTGAGCGAACCAGATTTACGCTGTGGAGGAGGGTGTGCACGTTTCGGAGTAAGAAGTTGGCCTTTCAGCCACATCTGTCAACAGCTGGTAATTGCAGTAAGTTCCTCACTCCTCCCCGTACATCTCTTATCTGAGCTTGTTACTGCGAACATCAAAGCACGGAGCAAATTGGTGGCTTTGAAATATCTTCACTGAAAAGTGTCGGTTTGGTGTTTGTTTGTTTTCCCCTGAGCCTTGCTGACAGTTGTGTGTAGCTAATACTGATATTTATCTTTTAAAGTGAGGTGGAAGACTAAGGAGATGTTCTACTCCTTAAATCCAACTTTTCTCCTTCATTCCAGTTCAAGGGCACAGTCTCTAAGCTCTTGCAGGCTGTAGCAGTAGATTTTTGCCCGTGGCAGAGCACCATCATTTTAGGTTTGGTTTTTTTTTTTCAAGTCTGGGGAATAGTTCTTACAGAGCTGTTTGGACAGTAAATTTCTGGTGATGTGAAGCAGCTCTAGAGCTGTTCTAAAATGCGTGTGATCGTCAGCTGGGGAGGCTGAAAGTCTTTTAAGGGTGATAGAGATGATGCAGCACTGTGTAAATTCCGTGCTGAACCGTGTGATCGTGTATTTTGGCTCTGAAATACATTTTAGGTGAAGCTTCTCCCCCCCACCGCAGCATTCGATGTTTGGCTCCACAGGTAAGTGTTGCCTGAGCTTTGCAGGCTTTACATGAATCTGTAACCTCCAGTCTCAGCTGCCCCAGTAGGACTGGGCTGCTGAACAGCACCCGGGTTAATGAGCTGCTGCTTTCAACGGGTTTTGTGAGTTTATTCTGATTTATCCCATTCATCACGCTCATATTGGAGCACACAAATCAGCAACACTGACTTCAACAGGCAGGGCTTTCACTGAGAGTGTCACTTCCAGGTTTTGAGCAATGACCTTGGTACAGGACAAATAGTGAGAGCTGTGCTTTTCCCATGGTTTTTTTTTTTCCATTTATAACACACAGAAAACCCGAAGTGAGGAATTTATTTCCAAAGGCACGCTTTTTTTTTTTTTTTGGTTCTGTAATATTTGGTTCCTGTTGCGTTTGGGTACCAAGTTTCTATAATGTGGGGAGTGGGAATGTGGTCGAAGCTGAAATCTGAGAGCAGCAAAGCCTAATTACTGATATTATTGACTAACAGCAATACTTAATCAAGGCAGCTTTTTTGATGTTCCCAGTTGCTTAAAGGTTAAGTGACGTGGATGGTCTGTTTTGTGGTTAATAATCCTCAGGAGAGGCATCTCCCTGAGCCTTCCCAGGCTGTTCCCAGCCCACCTGGGGAATTCCCAGTGGAGGAGCTGCAGGGGACAATAGGGAGGTCTTGGTGAGGGATGTGAC